AGATCCACCGTCTACTTATAAGACAACCTTGACCTCTGTGTACCCCATAGAAGGACATCATACATTTTTATGGTATGTTAATTCTACAAGTTTGTCAGGGTCTTTTTGTTTTAATTAACACCAAGAACTTCTGAGTGTGTGTACTCGTGTGTGTGTACTCGTGTGTGTGTGTGTGTAACCTGAGGGTTGAAAAGATCCAGTCCCTATCAGGTAGAATGCAAGGAGGAGGTCCTGAGCACTACTTTGAAAGTGAACCTGGGTTTATGGTCTCTGAGTGCAGCTGATCCTATTACATTTATGCCTAGAAAACCCTGTGGACAGACCACAATATTTTAGACCTTAACTCTTAGTAGTGGGATTGTGTGGAGCTTTAAAATTCCTTTATTTCTTTATGTACTTTCCAGCTTTGTATTAATATACAGGAATGGCATTTTGAATCAGAAACAAAAGTAAGTCTACCAGTCAGCCCCCATGTGATGACACATATTATTTGGAAGCAGGAAGTATACACAGTTCCCTGGAGATGGGCCCAAACTTCCAAGGGCAGCATAACTTTCTTCCTTTGTCCAGCTGTTAAAGGTGTTACGGAAGCCTAGAAATTGACGGGTCAAGTCAGAAGTTACTTCCAAGCATATCCAATTACATATGTAATTCAGATAAATTACAGAGTCACTTTGTGACTTTAGAACAAGGCTCCTTAATGCTATTTGAATATTCTTTTTAGGGACTGGAAGCAGTCTGCTTTTGAACTCTACTTCCTTCACTCTTACTAACCAGGGGTACCTATGCCCTTAGGCACTAGTGTAGTGACCTGCTCATTTGAAACAGAAATCTTGGAGGGATTCTGCATACATGGCCAAGCATGATTTAAAGCCATGTGTTGTCTTCAGTGTCCACAGAGTGCTTATGTTCCTGTGCAGAGGCTCCTGGTCTTGAGATAGTCGCCTGTGACTCCAAGGGGAAACTCCTTGACCTTGCTCATCAAACAGAGATTTGACCATTTTCTGGCCACTGCTGAAACTGCTGGCAATTTGGATGACATATTAGTGAGAAGAGGGTCTGATCTCTGCTCCATCTGAGAACACACAGGTATCCATCTACTAGAAACCAGCCCAGTTATTCCCATGCAGTTCCTTAGCTAGGAGAGAAAGCAAGGAATCACACAAGAGAAACGTAAACATTCCTGTTGCCTCTGCCTTAATCTTTGTGTGTGTGTGTGTGTGTGTGTGTGTGTGTGTGTGTGTGTGAAACAGAGTCTCTCTCTGTTGCCCAGGCTGCTGGTATGTCTCAGCTTACTTCAACTTCCAACCCCCGGGTTCAAGTGATTCTCCTGCCTCAGCCTCATGAGTAGCTGGGATTACTGGTATCTGCTACCATGCCTGGCTAATTTTTGTATTTTTAGTTGAGACGGACTTTCACCATGTTGTTCAGGCTGGTCTCAAGCTCCTGACCTCACGTGATCACCTGCCTCAGCCTCCCAAAATGCTGGGATTACAGGTAAGCCACCACACCGGCCAAGCTTCTGTCCTCTGTGCAAGGGCCATGCTCTATATTGTGTGTATAGGGCCATTAAACTCTCTTTCTGGAGCTAATAGACCTCCACCCTCACTGTGGATTCAACAGATATGACTTTGTCCTGGTGCTAAACATCAGGGTGAGAAGAAAATCTGAGAAATGCTATTTAGCATCATAGACAGAAATTATATACCTGACTAAAAAGGTTTGAATCATTGAGGCTACGCCACCTCACCCTCTCCCCTATAGACACATCACTAATGAGTCACTCTTCAAAGAAAATGCCCAGTGCAGCTCCATGCACTACTGAAAGTCTCAGCATTGCTCTGCTGTGCCATGCCAGTAGGTCAGCACTCCCCCACCTCCAGTGAACACAAAGCAGGAACACTAGCTGGCAGGCTAGTTGTCCCAATTCCATCCAGCCCTAATCATATCCCTGCTCCAACCCTAGTCAGGATCTGGCTCCAGGGAGCCATACATCAAGCCAGTAACAGTTAGGATGTCTACTTAAGTCACAGGATCCACAGGTTTGAAAGAGGATATTATGGAGATGCATATAACCGTGTATGTTTTTGTTTTTAAAAACAGCAGGTTTAGGCTAAATGTGGTGGCTCACGCCTGTAATCCTACCACTTTGGAAGACCGAGGCAGGTGGATGACCTGAGGTCAGAAGTTCGAGATCAGCCTGGCCAACATGATGAAACCTGGTCTCTACTGAAAATACAAAAATTGGCTGGGCGTGGTGGCAGGCGCCTGTATCCCAGCTACTCAGGAGGCTGAGGCAGGAGAATCACTTGAACCTGGGAGGTGGAGGTTGCAGTAAGCTGAGATCATGCCATTGCACTCCAGCCTTGGTGACCCTGAGAGTGAAACTCCATCTCAGGAAAAAAAAAAAAAAAAAAAGCAGATTTACAGGTAGCATTTTTACAGTATCCAGTTATACACAGAAGTTACGTGATAGAAGGACCTTCTCTTTAAGGACCTGGTTCTGTATGTTTCTGAAAGGTATCTGGTATGTATATTTTAGACAGAGTCTCACTCCAGGTTGGAGTACAGTGGTATGATCTCTGCTCACTGCAGCCTCTGCCTCCCAGGCTCAAGCAGTCTTCATGCCTGGTCACCCAAGTAGCTGAGACTACAAGAGAGCGCCACCATGCCCAGCTAATTTTTGTATTTTTAGTAGAGACAGGATTTCACCATGTTGGCCAGGCTGATCTCGATCTCCTGACCTCAACTGATTCTTCTGCCTTAGCGTCCCAAAGTGCTGGGATTGTAGGTGTGAGCCACAGCACCCAGCCATTATATTCTTTTATTAATCCTCCTATAATTGTATATATAAGACTGCTTTGTCAAGCAAAATCAAAACGTAATCAGATTCCAGGCTTCTCAGATCCTGCCCAAAGAGATATATGAGAAAATTTTATCTCATCTTCTGATAATTACCTCTGAGCTGGGCCTCCTGCTTGTGAGACCAATGCAAATGGTGAATGTATCTGCCCTGCCCAGAACAAAAATCTAATATTCTTCAAATGTTACTCGCGAATCACGATAATTTATTTCCTTATCTTTATTGTTAACAACTTAGAATTTACAACTCTTTCACTGAGCTGTTTGAACCAGTTTTATTATTACTTTTGAGAATATAGATGTATTTGCACTCTGCATTGTCTTGGGGAGAAATAGCATCAGATAATTACAAAGTTAAGTAGTGAGTTTTCTACCTCAAATCTAGGCTCGGGCCACTTGGCTGCTAAAACTTCTAGTTTCCTGAAAAACAGGACTGTCTAAATAATATCTTCAGGTAAAGAAAGATAATTCACCCCAACTAGAATTTTTCTGTCTAATCTTTAATTTCCAGGGCTTCTTGTTAACTTGTATAAGAGTTCCTAATTGAAACCAGATGTGATAGCTCATGCCTATAATCCCAGCACTTGAGGAGTTTAAGGTGTGAGGATGACTTGAGGCGAGGAGTTTGAGACCAGCCTGGGCAACATAGGGAGATCCCATCCCTACAAAAAAACTTTTAAAAAGTTAGCCGTGTGTGGTAGCACACACCTGTGGTGCCAGCTACTTGAGAGGCTGAGCTGGAGGATTGCTTGAGCCTCAGAGGTCAAGGCTGCAGTTGTGATCACACCACTGTACTCCAACGTGGGTGACAGAGTGAGATCCTGTCTCAACAACAACAACAAGAAAAAGGCATTTCTAATTCATTCGATCTTAACATCTGGAGAATCTTAAGAATGAAATTTTCTCTTGTGAAATGAAAAATCTAAAAAAAAAGAAACATGCTTTTTTTTTTGAGACGGAATCTTGCTCTGTCACCCAGACTGGAGTGCCGGGGTGCAATCTCAGCTCACTGCAACCTCCGTCTCCCGGGTTCAAGCCATTTCCTCCTGAGTACCTGGGATTACAGGTATGCCACCACACTCGGCTAATTTTTTTTTCTTTTTGTATTTTTAGTAGAGCTCTGCAACCTCTGCCTCCCAGACTCAAGCAATCTTCCTGCCTCATCTTCCCAATGAGGCAGGAAGATTGCCTCACCATGTTACCCATGATGGTCTTGATCTCCTGACCTCATGATCTGCCCACCTCAGCCTCCCAAAGTGCTGGGATTACAAGCGTGAGCCACTGCACCCAGCTAAAAACATGCTTTTATATATAAAAGTTTTTATTTAAAAATTCCAAGATTTTGTTAAACTAAAACACCACTAATTGAAAATTAAAGGCAGTCAACAAAACCTAGTATTCTGTTGTGTTCACCATAGACATATTCAATTCAGTCAGCATTTAATTACGTGCAGGTCAGAAATGCTCACTTGAGCCTGATCTTAATTCAGGATATTGTTTGAATGTGGAAGGCTTTAATATTTGATTCATAGTTTCAAATTATGTATTATTATACAGGGTATCAGTATATTTATTATCTATTTATTGACTATCTCTTTTTTTTTTTTTTTTGAGACGGTCTTGCTCTGTCACCTGGCTGGAATGCAGTGGTGCGGTCTTGGTTCACCACAAACACTGGCTCCCAGTTCGAGAGATTCTCCTGCCTCAGCCTCCCAAGTAGCTGGGATTACAGGCATGCAGCACCACACCCAGGTAATTTTTGTTTGTTTGCTTGTTTTTTGAGACGGAGTTTCGCTCTTCTTACCCAGGCTGGAGTGCAATGGCGCAATCTCGGCTCACCACAACCTCCGCCTCCTGGGTTCAGGCAATTCTCCTCCTCAGCCTCCTGAGTAGCTGGGATTACAGGCACATGCCACCACGCCCAGCTAATTTTTTTGTATTTTTAGTAGAGATGGGGTTTCACCATGTTGACCAGGATGGTCTCGATCTCTTGACCTCGTGATCCACCCACCTCGGCCTCCCAAAGTGCTGGGATTACAGGCTTGAGCTACTGTGCCCGGCCTAATTTTTGTATTTTTAATAGAGATGGAGTTTCACTGTGTTGACCAGGCTGGTCTCGAACTCTTGATCTCAAGTGATCTGCCTACCTCGGCCTCCCAAACAAAGTGCTGGGATTACAGGCATAAGCCACCGTGCCCAGCCCTATTTATTACATGTCTATATATTTACTTACTTGTTTTTGATTCTTAAAGTATGACAACTGAATGTAAGGGCAGCTTGCTTTCTTTGTCCAAGACAGACGGCATAAACCTGGCCTCCTGCATCAGTGCTCCATACACCATTTCAGTAGTATCACCACCAGATCCTGGAGAGCAGCTGCTCATGGCTTCTGAGTCTATAGCTGAAACAGGAAAGCAGCTGAGAAGTATTAAATCAGTTGTCAGAGCCGGTCCTCAGTAAAGTTTTATGCCTGGGCCAACAAATGTGAAAATAAATGCATGTAGGGTAAAAAGGAAATGTTCTTCTTATCCAGTTCAAAGATGATCACTAGAATGATGTCACACTGTGTGGGGCCACAATTTAAATATGCCAGGGTGTGTCCAAAGATGCCCAGGACCTCATCAGTGAACACCTCCTCCTCTGAAATTATGCTCTGCATGATACATACAGCCCAAGGACACACACTTATACATAGGAGTGAACAGAAAAAGTTCTGAGGCACTTAATTAAACTTACAACACTAGCCTGGATAATAATTATGGGCAAGTTACCTCTTACATCTCCATTTCTTTACATGTATTGTGGGATTAAGATCGTCTCACTCATCAGGTTTTTATAAGAGCTGAATTAAATTAAAACACATATATTAAGTGTAAATAGCAGTCTGGGCATGGTGGCTAACGCATATAATCCCAGCACTTTGGGAGGCCAAGGCAGTAGGATCACTGGAGGTCAGAAGTTTGAGACCAGCCTGGCCAACATGGTGAAAACCTGTCTCTACTAAAAATACAAAATTAGCCAGGCATGGTCACATGTGCCTGTAATCCCAGCTACTCTGGAGGCTGAGGCAGGAGAATAGCTTGAACCTGGGAGGTTCCCCCTTTCCTTGAGATGCTAATGTCTGGGGTAGAAAAACATGTCTTTAGTATATTCCTGCTGGCAATGAAGATTTGGTCAACTCTATGTTGCTTGTTTTATAGCATTCCTGAGTTTTGCCCATTTTATTATGTCATTACACATGCTTTTTCAAACTACAGTGTTATCTGATAAGCCTTCCCCAGAGGGAGCATTGCTGATACCACCTACCTTGCAGGAATGATTAAAGCAGATTACAAACATAAAGTAGCTAGCACAGTGCCTGATCAATAAATGTTATTATGAGAGGAGGGGAGGGAAAAGTTGGAAAAAATAATAAAGTGAATACAATTGCTGCCATAAAGCATTTGTTTTCAAGCTTGAAATCCTCAAGGAACCCCTAATTCTAGCCAAGGAAAGAAACTGCAGCAAATTCTCTGACAATTTTGATGAGTGAAGAATGCATTTTATTTGTTGTTATAAATATTTCTTACTGAGATCTCTAAATAAGAAACAACTTCTCCGCAGATGTGATAGACAAACATATAGGGGGTTTTTTCTTTCTTTCTTTCTAAATTTTTTTGGAGATGGAGTCTCTGTCACCCAAGCTGGAGTGCAGGGAGGGCAATGGTGCAATGTGGGCTCATTGCGACCTCCACCTCCTGGGTTCAAGCGATTCTCCTGCCTCAGCCTCCTGCGTAGCTGAGATTACAAGTGTGCACCATGCCAAGATAATTTTTTTTTCTTTTCTTTTTTTATTGCATTTTAGGTTTTGAGGTACATGTGCAGATCATGCAAGATAGTTGCATAGGTACACACATGGCAGTGTGTTTTGCTGCCGTCTTCCCCTTCACCCACATTTGGCATTTCTCCCCAGGCTATCCCTCCCTGCTTCCCCGCCCAGATAATTTTTGTATTTTTAGTAGAGACAGGGTTTCACCATGTTGACCAGGCTGGTCTCTAACTCCTGACTTCATGTGACCTACCTGCCTCAGCCTCTCAAAATGCTGGGATTACAAGTGAGCCACTGTGCCTGACCCGATTTTTTTTAAGTAGGTATATCTGTTATATATCAATTAAAAAATTAAATTTCATTTAAAAAAGCCAAAACACTGAAAAAATACATGATTCTTTATATTAAGTTCAAAAATATACAAAAACAAAGATATGTATAATCAAGTGCCATGTGCCCATTTCCCAATTTTAATAAAAGTTGATAAAATCAACTTTTTTTTACTTAAACTTGAGTCAAAAGCTAATAAAGCTATAACCAAGACTTAATTCATCTACACAATCTATACTTTGCCCTCCTCACCCACAATGAAATATCTTAAACAAATGAATTGTTGTTTCATACATTAAAACGAATTTTACTTTGATAAAAGTGAAAGAAAAATTTTGTCATTAGTATCAGAGGTAACTGGAAGAAGTCAAAGTGGACACAAAGCTGTTCAGTGAATGCACTCCAGAAGGTGGGCTTGGGCAGACATCAGAAGAAAAACGGTTGCTATCTTACAGTTACAATGTTTTCAGGGACATTTCTAATTGTTTACTTGTGAAATCACATGCATATAGACTTTTATTAATACACTGTTTCAAATCCTCTGTTTATAGCATTCTGTTTTGTTCAAGTACAAAGAGTAAAAGTATATTTATTTTGAGAACTAGGATGTATTATTTTAAGAAGAATTTTAACTTTTTTAGAAGATAGCATAGAAAAAGCTGCAACCACAAAATAATAATGCTGTCTCGTGTGGCCTAAAAGTGTGTGTGTGTGTGTGTGTGTGTGTGTGTGTGTGTGTAAAATACAAGGCAATAGCATACAAATCAGGGGGGAATAAATGGATTAAAAGTAGCAATTTTTTTCAGGATCTTTAAAAGTCTTAGGTTCATAGTGCTATATGTGCAGCTTTGTTAGATAGGTAAACTCATGTCGCAGGGGTTTGGTGTATAGATTATTTCATCACCCAGGTAATAAACATAGTACCCTATAGGTATTTTTCCAGATCCCCTTTTTTTCTCCCACCCCCACCCTCAAGTAGACCCCAGTGTGTCCATGTGTTCTCATCATTTAGTTCCCACTTATAAGTGAGAACATACGGTATGTGGTTTTCTGTTCCTGTGTTAGTTTGCTAAGGAAAACAGTCTCTAGTTCCATCTATGTTGCTGCAGAGGACATGATCTAGTTCTTTTTATGGCTACATAGTAATCCGGGGTGTATATGTACCAGATACACATTTTTAAAAGCTTGTCTACCATTGATAGGCATTTAGGTTAATTTCATGTCTTCGCTATTTTGAATAGTGCTGCAATGAACATACACATTCATGTGTTTTTATGGTAGAACAATTTATATTCCTTTGGGTATATACCCAATAATGGGATTGCTGGGTCAGTGGAAATGCTGTTTGTAGGTCTTTGAGGAAGCACCACACTGTTTTCCACAGTGGCTGAACTAATTGACCCACCTACCAGCGGTGTATAACTGGTTCCTTTTCTCCACAGGCTCACCAGCATGTTACTTAATTTTTTAATAATAACCATTCTGACTGGTGTCAGATAGTCTATCATTGTGATTTTTTTATTTTACAAAAGTTTATTCTTAAAGGTACAACAGTTCCGAGACAGCACTTCATTCCAGCTATAGGTGGCAAAAGATGTTATGGCAAGGAATACAGATGTTTAAATACAAATGAAATCAAGGGTCATCATCTCTTCAAGCACAAGGAATAGCTTATTTTTTGCCAGTTTCTTAATTCCACCTCTGGCCAGGGACCCCTTCCCTGTGGCCTTCCCTTCTAGCTCTTCAAGTTTCTTCTGCTCCTCTTTTTGTTTCTGCTTGAAAACCTTATCTTCCTTGTCCATCTCCTTGGCCTGCTTCTTGGGCTGTTTCAGAAGGTTCTTCTTGCCACCTCTGTAGCCAGACATGGCACCTGACACCCCTTCCACCCATCACTGTGGTTTTGATTTGCAGTTCTCTAATGATCAGTGATGTTGAACTTTTTTTAATATGCCTGTTGGCTGCATGTATTTCTTCTTTTGAAAAGTGTCTGCTTATGTCCTTTGCCCACTTTTTAATGGGGTTTTTGGTTTTTGCTTGTAAATGTAAGTTCTTTATAGATTCTGGATATCGGAGGTTTGTCAGAAGCGTAGCTTGCAAATATTTTCTCTCATTCAGTAGGCTGTCTGTTGATTGACAGTTTCTTTTGCTGTACAGAAGCTCTTTAGTTTAGTTCCCATTTGTCGACTTTTAGCAATTAATATTAAGCTTTGTTAAGTCAAGGGGCATTTTGTAATCTCTAAAGCAATCACTGCAAGGACGATAAAATAGGAAAAAATTCTAAACAATGGAGAAAAGAAAAGGAATAATTAAAAAAATTCAACTGTGCTTAAAAAATAGCAAAAAATGAATCAAGTACATATGGGAAAAACAAATACAGTAAGACAATAGATATAAATCGAAAATATCAGCAATTATGTTAAACCATCTACAAAATATGTATTATCAAATTGGATTTTTCAAAAACAACTATATGCTATTTACATATGTGTAGCAATATTAAACAAGAAAACAGAAGGCTTGAAAGGAAAAGAGTGAAAACACTAACAACAAAAGCAGAAAAGAAAGACGGTGTAGCTATACCAATGTCATACAAGCTAGTCATTAAGACACATGAGAATTGAAAAGAGCACTTCGTAATGACAGTAATTCATTTGAAATTACAAAATTCTGAATGTACAATCATAATAAAGGATTAATTCATCTGGAATTATAAAATTCTACATGTACAATCATACAATAGAATAAAATCAATATAAATAAAGACAAACTATAAGAAGCAATGATGATTACAGTGAAACCTGTAATCATCATGGGAAATTTCAATGCCTGTCTTATACTTGTTAATAAAACCAATGCACAAAAAATCAGCATGAATAGATTTTTTTATACAACATGGCTAACAAACTTGACTCTCATGAACATATGTAGAAAACTTCACCCAAAAACTTTAAAATATGCAATGTTCCCAAACATGTAATGCAAGTGTTAACTAATTCCAAAGGGTTGAAATCATACATACTGTGTGCTTTGCCTACAATGTAATTAAACTAGAAACCAATAACAAAAAGAGGACTAAAACTTTCTAAATATTTGTAATTTTAGAAAGACACGTATAACTAAGCCAAGGATCAAAGAAGAAACCATGATAAAATAAAAAATATTTTGAAAGTATAACAAAATGTAACATATCAAATTTTTGGGATATAGCCCAAGCAATACTTAGAGGAATAATTTATATTCATTTATATGAATTTTAAGCATACATAAGAAAAGTAGAAAGGGGGAAAAATAACCACCTAAAAATATCTAGCTCAAGAAATTAATTAGAAAGTTGTAAATTAAGCCCAAGAATTTTAAAAGAAGAATGAATGAAAAGAATAAAGAGGCTGGGCACAGTGGTTCACACTTGTAATTCTAGCACTTTGGGAGACCGAGGCAGGTGGATCACGAGGTCAGGAGATTGAGATCATCCTGGCTAACTTGGTGAAACCTCATCTCTACTAAAAATATGAAAAATTAGCCAGGCTTTGTGGCTGGCAATTGTGGTCCCAGCTACTCAGGAGGCTGAGGCAGGAGAATTGCTTGAACCCAGGTGGTGGAGGTTGCAATGAGTCTAGACTGCGCCACTGCACTCCAACCTGGGCAACAGAGTGAAACTCTGTCTCAAAAAAAAAAAAATAGCAGAAATTATGAAAAAGAAAACAACATTAAAATTTGTTTTCTTAAAGACTACTAATATGGATAAACCCTGGTGAGACTGACCAAAAGACACAAAGACCAAAAATATAGGATTGACAACATATTGTCATGGACTAGAAACAGTAAAAAGGAAAATTATACCATATTATGACCAATATTATAGCAATAAAATTTGAAAATGTTGATAAACTTAACAAATTTCTGAAAAACCACAATGCACAAAACGGTCACAAGAAAAATAGAAATTCTAAATAATCCTGAAACTATTAAAGGAATGGAATCTATAATTTAAATAATTCATGCAAAGAGAACATCCAGCCTAGTTTTCTTTGCTGGTTAATTCTACTAAATATTTATAAAACTTCTATAAACTTTTCAAGAGAATAGAAAAAGTAAGTACTCTTCTCCTAACTTCTTTTGTGAAATTAACCTAATGTTGGTATACAAACTTGATAAGGACATTCCAGAAAGAAAAATTACAGAACAGTCACTCCTGAAATTGAAACAAGCACTCCTGAAACTTGAAAAAATAACAACATTTAAACAGTTGTTTAAACAGTGTTTAGATTTGCCAGTAACATCTAAAAAAGACAGTAGCCCACAACCAAGTTAGATTTATTCCAGGAATTGGAGGTAAGCTTGCTATTCAAATATCACTGTGCATATGATAAAATGTCATAGAATTTTGCATAAGCATGCATGGAAAAATGAGTGCATGCGAAAACTGATGAAATGTTCTAGAGGGAAGTAGGAGGCAGGATCCTCATATGGCAGAAAGCGGAAGGGCCAAGAGAGAAAGCCTGCTCTTGAAAGCTCTTTTTGCAGAGCATTAATCCATTCAGAGTAGAGAGCCCTCATGACCTAAACACCACGTTTTAGGCCCTACCTCCCACTACTGTTGCATAGGATATTGTTTCAACATGAATTTGGGATGGGACAAATGTTCAAATAATAGCATTATTAAAAATGCTGTTAAAATATAAAACTATTCTTGATTATTATATATTGACCTCATATTCAACAGCCTTGCTAATTACATTGGTGAATTCCAGTAATTTGCAGATTATATGATTAAAAGAAGCCAAGTGTTATTCATCAAGAAAATCAGAGAATGACCCCAAAGGCATTTTGAAAATCTTCATAGCTGCCCCTCTAATCACAGGCCCAGAGCTTTAGAGCCTTGTGGGCAGAATGGTTTTGGATGATGGGACCAGGGTTCCCTCCATGGGCTCTCTATCAGGGCTGTTTCAGGACCCTGATCTGTGCATTCTAATGCAGCTCTCCTTGACGACACCCACTGTTCCGGAAGGCAGATTGTAAACCTTCATGGCGGCTATGTGGTTCTAATTCTGCAGGCTCACATAGTGCCAGAGCTGAGGAGCATGACTTTCTTCAATTAGACTTCAAAGGGTGTTATGGCAAGTGATGGGGCCCAGACAAAGACTTGTCACAGGGGTGGAACCACCACACAGAGTTTTCACCAATGTAATGCCTAGTGAAGCAGTGGGAACAGGGACCTCCTGGGACTCTGAAAGTGTGGAGCCACCAGTATACAATGCCAGCCTGGGAGAGCACAGGCATGAGACTCCAACTCATGAGAGATGCTGTGTGGGCTCAGCCCAGCAAAGTCACAGGGTCAGGGTTGTCTGAGGCCTTGGGAGCCCAACCCAAGTGTGTCTGAAAGGCAGGCCTTAGAGTCAAAGATTTTTTCCAAGCTTTAAGATGTAGGGCCCTGTTGGTTTGGGGACTTGGGACCTGTTACCCCTTCCTTCTTGCCTATTCCTCCCTTTTAGAATGGGAATGTCTATCCTGCACCTGTCCCACCACTGTATTCTGGAAACATATAAATAAATTGTTCAATTTCACAGGTTTATTGTGGGAGAGAATTTGCCTCAGGATGCATCATGCTTCAGTGTCACTAATTTCTTCCATTCTTTAAGGGAACACAGCAAATGATGAACCATTAAGCTAGGAAGCTTCTTCTTACTCCTAAGGGCTGTTTATCTCTAATGGCATTTAAGACCCTTGGCGAATAAGAAACTTCTTTTGCCAGCTTCTTCTGAATATCTGCCTACAAATTCTTAATTCTGCAAATTATCTTCCATTTAGATGGAACTCTGGACTTTGGACTTACTAGGGCTATTGAGATAGAATTAACATATTTTGTATGTGAGAAGGACATGAGTTTTGGCGTACCACATGCAGAATGCTGTGGTTTGAATGTTTGTCCCCTCCCCAACTGATGTTGAAACTTGCAATGCAACAGTATTGAGAGGTAGGGCTTGATGGGAGGTGTTTACATAATGATGGCAGAGCCCTCATGAATGGATTACTGTGATTGTAAAAAGTACTTCCAGGAGTGGGCTCTCTTTCTTGGTCCTTTCACCTTCCACCACATAAGGATTCAGTGTTCTTCTCCCCTCTGGGGGATGTAGCATGCAAGGTGCGTCTTGGAAGAAGAGAATGGCCTCACCAGATACCAGACGTGCTGGTGCATTGACTTTAGACTTCCCAGTCCTCAGAACTATGAGCCAATACATTTCTGTTTATGAATTACCCCATCTGTGTTATTCTGTTATAGCAACACAAAATAGACTAAGACAAAAATTAATTTAAAACAGACTACTTATAACAGCATGAACGACACATCAAATAAATAGTAATAAATCTAATGATAGATGCATAAGATCTTTATGCAGAAAATGATTAGATATTATTTAGAGATATTTTTAAATCCTAAGTAAATTAAGATTAGATATAAATTAATGAAAACATGTCATTTATTCCTAAATTTATCAGTATGTTCAATGAAATCCCCATCTAAATCCCAACGGTTTTTGAATGAAAATTGAGGAGTTAATTTTAACATGCATATTAAAATGCAAATAGTCAAGAATAGTAAGACAGTCTTAAAGAAGAACGGTGTGGGGAGAATTGCTCTGCTAGATAACATGACTTATTTAGCTCTAGAAATTAAGATTGAAAAATAGGCTAAGGAAATGATAGAGAGCTCAGAAACGACCCACTCACATGGACACCAAATTCACGACAAACATGATACTGCAAAGCAGTGGAAGGAGTTTCTTTTAAAAAAATGAAACAATCTATAGCTCACACCATAAGCCAAAATCAATCCTAGGTGGATTGCAGACCTAAAAGTAAAAGGCAAAACAATAAAGTTTCAATAAACAGCAGTGCAGAAAATCTTCATGACATTGGGCTATAAGAAAATTTGCACACAAAATGCACCAATAATATGCATAAGACATAAAAGGCACTAATTATAAAGAAAAAGACGAATCCATTGAAATATAATAAAGAAATGCTGAGTTGCAAATACAGGGAGCAAAATAGCTAACAGACCCTTTGGCAATCATCTCCTCACAGGAATATCAAATGAAAGAACTATCCTTGCAAGAAGGCACCCTCAAAAGAGCTGAAGAAATCAAGTGAGGTATCACAGTATCTGCTTTTAGCATAATAACAAGAAAAGATGCACAGTGAACAATGTAGAAAGGATAATCTTTCATTGCCTAAACCACCTCTCCTCAATCACAGGCACCATAGAGAGGAGAGACAATTCCTGCTTGGGGAAGGGAATGGGAAGTG